GCTTAAATGTTAGTGTGCCTAGGAGTCACCTGGGGACTGGGTTATAATGCAGGCTCTAGTTCTGAGGTTCTGCATGTCTTGTAAGCTCCCAGACACTACTGAGGCCATGACACTTTGAGCACTAAGGCCCCATGCCACCATCCAGAATCAAAGATGATCAACATTTTCTTTTCTTTTTTTTCTTTTTCTTTTTCTTTCTTTCTTTTTTTTTTTTTTTTGAGGCGTTTTTTTTTTTTTTTGAGGCGGGATCTCACTCTGTCACTCAAGATGGAGTACAATGGCAAGACAACAGCTCACTGCAGCCTCGACCTCCTAGGTTCAAGTGATCCTCCTACCTCAGCCTCCCGAGAAGCTGGGACTACAAGCATATACCACCACACCTGGCTAATGTTTTTTTTTGTTTTTTGTAAAAGTGGGGTCTCCCTTTGTTGCCCAGGCTGGTCTTGAACTCCTGGGCTCAAGTGATCCTCCCACCTTGAGCTCCCAAATTGCTAGGATTATAGGGGTGAGCCACCACGACTGTCCTTATTTTTTATTTCTTTAGGTTTTGAGTTCACAAGAAAACATTTCAACAGAGTGTAGATTTTAATCCATTTTTCGTCATAATTCTTGTCATTTTACTGTGTTAAATGTAAATTTTCCTCTTTTCTGAAATTAACAGAGCTCATACTCCGTGGGATTTCAGTTCAATGAGAAAAGTGTCAATTACATAATTAATAGTGATGGCATAACTGCCTATCTGGCTGGAAGAAAATAAAATTAGATGTCTACCCAGTTTATTAAAAATGAATTTCAAGTCTGGGCCACATAGTGAGATCCTGCCTCTGCAAAAAATAAAAAAAAATTAGCCAAGCGGGATGGTGCGTGCCTACAATCCCAGCTACTCAGGAGACTGAGGTGGGAGGATTGTTTGTACCCAGGAGTTCAAGGCTGCAGTGAGCTATGATCCCACCACTGCACCCCAGCTTGGGAAACCAAGCAAGACCCTGTCTCAAAAAAACAAAAAAAATCATATTGCAATCCAATTAACATGAATTCTAGGTGGGTTAAAATGATTAGTGACATTGAGGGTCTTATATTTGTCCCAGCATCACTCATGTCAGAATTGGCCTCTGCCTCTGCACACTTGCATCTGAAAAGTCTTTGCAGGGCTGTGATCTCCTCACTGTGTGTACCTATCTGGATCGCTTTGTTCTCCCAGCCCTGGGCCAACCTCCCTTCTCCATGTCACCAGGAAGGCTCCGGAATGTCAGTTTTGGGGGCTGTTCAAGTAAGGTTGACTTAATTGCTCTCCAGTGCTTGGCAGGTAAGAGACTTGCAGGTTTTGCTTGCTGTAAACAATGTTGTAATTAATACCCCTGTACATTTGCTTTTTCTGTATTTGGATTCTTTTTCTGTATTTCTGTATTCTGTATTTTTCTGTATTTTGGATTCCTATATGTGGGATTCCTGGGTCAGAGTTCCAAAAACTTTTAGTATAAATAAATTAAGCAAATGATCACCAAATTATTTTTCCAAAAGGAAAACAGTGTTTTTTCCTTTTAATTTTTTAGGAAAAATATTTAATTTTTCTCGAACAAAATATGAGATAACGTAATACAATGTAAAATAATAAATGTGGTTTTTTTCCTCTTTGGGCCTTCTTCGATCTAGGTTTAGAAAATCCTCTCTTACCCAGAAGTCTGATAACAATTTGACTGTGATAGCTTCTGTAGTTGATTTTTAGAAAGACATTTAGCCTTTATTTTGGTGTTTGGTGTGAGACGAGGGTCTGAGTAGCTGCTTGCAACTCACCAGAGAAAACATAGTCTCATTTACACTGGCAAGTTCCCTCTTTGGACTCATTTCTTCACCCCACAGAGCCAGGCAGGAAGAGAAGTAGCGAGGTATCAGGGAGTGTGGAATGCTGAGATGGTAGTTTCCCTAATCTTGAAAAGGAGCTTGATTCTTTTCTTATCTGTCTGACTTTTCAAGTGGTCTTATTTTCCTGATAGGCAGCTAGAAATTTGCTCCTTTGCTTACTATTGCAACAGAAGTCCTCTTGAATGGAAATTTCCTTGCTCTGTTAAAAAAAAACCCACTGTATAGAAAGGTGTCTAAGATAAGGCACACATTCTTAAAAGGGTCTAAAGCTTAGCCCTCTCATGAACAAAGTGTTGTCACATTGATGAAAGCAAACCTTAGGATAGTGGTTGTCAACTGGGGACAGTTTTGCCTCCCAGGGAACATGTGACAATGTCTGGGGACATTTTTGGTTGTTGTAACTTCGGAGTGTACTGGCTTCTAGGCGGTAGAGGCCAGGGATGCTGCTAAAAATCCTATGACACAGTTTCACATCCCCACCCCAACAAGGAATTATCTGGTCTGAAGAGTCAATAGCACTGAGGTTAAGAAACTCGTTCTTAGAATATATCTGTAAGAGGCTTCACTTTGAGAAGATTGGCCGAGTGCTGTTAGGACTCTTGGCTAGGCCAGAGTCATGAGGCATGTAGGGATGGAGAAGGCCTGAGTGGTGGAGAAGCAGGTGGAAGCCTGAGGGTAGAGACTCTGATTGCCAAGGGGGAGTTTGGACTCATTCCTCTGGCAGCAGGAGGCACTGGAGGCCTTGCATTAGGAGGGGCATCCTCTATCCATCCCAGGACATCCAATTGCAGCAGGATGCGTAGTTCTGGGAAGGATGGTCTCTTCCCGCCCTATACAGACTCCCTAGATGCCCACGTCCTGCTGCAGGGGCTCTGTGTAATCCCTGAATAGTACATGCATGTCCACAGTTCAACTCCTTAAGTGTTAATGCTGGGCATCTTCCATGTGCCTCTCCATTCTGCTCTCCATCCTCTCCTCCCCAGGCTACTTCAAGTGCCAGGAAGCTGACATGTGGACTGCAGTCACCACTCCCTTCCCTCTAAATTTGGCAGGATATTGGAGGGAGGTAGGAGAAGGAGGTCTGGGTATTTATTCTTTAGCTACTCTATTAGTCCGTTTTCATACTGCTAATAAAGACATACCCAAGACTGGGTAATTTGTGCAGGAAAGAGATTTAATGGACTCACTGTTCCACATGGCTGGGGAGGCCTCACAATCATGGCTGAAGGCAAGGAGGAGCAAGTCATGTCTTACATGGATGTCAGCAGGCAAAAAGAGAGCTTGTGTGGGGAAAGTCTCCCTTATAAAACCATCAGATTTCATGAGACTTATTCACTATCATGAGAACAGCATGGGAAAGACCTGTCCCCATGGTTCAATTACCTCCCACTGGGTCCCTCCTACAACACGCGGGAATTGTGGGAGCTACAATTCAAGACGAGATCTGGGTGGGGACACAGCCAAACCATATCAGCTCCTTTGCTGTTGGCTGCTGCAGGAGGCCCTCTCTGCACAGCTCTGTCTCAGTCTCACTGGGATGATGGCTCCTCCATGCTGCTAGCCCTCAGGTTCTGTGATGTTGCTTTCTATGAGTCAACTTGGCTAGGCCATGGTGCCCAAATAGGTAGTCAGTCATGATCCTGGCTGTTTGTGTGAGGGTGTTTTTGGATGAGATTCACATTTAAATCTGTGGACTTTGAGTAAAGCAGATTGTCCTCCATAATGTGGGTGGGCTTCATCCAACCAGCTGATGGCCCAAGTAGAACAAAAGACTGGCCTTCCCCGAGCAAGAGGGAATTCTGGCAGCAGCTGGTCTTTGGACTTGAACTGCAACATTGGCTTTTCCTGGTTCCACCCTTCAGAGTTTGGACTTACCGGCCTACACAATTACACGAGCCAATTCCTTACAATAGATCTGGTTCTCTCAGTGTACACATCCAGGGTTCTGTTTCTGTGGAGAACCCTGACTAATAGAGGTACCATATGTCTTCCTTCCACCCTGCCCACAACTTAGTACCGTGCCTTTATTGTACACTCCTCCAATTATGTAACGCGAGCCCTGCAGTTTCCCGCCAGCTCTGTATGCCTTCTGCAGGCCAGCACGACGGCTGCAAGCCTCCCTGGAGGCTGCCCAGGCACCCGCCTCTTGGAAGCTAGGCCCTGACGACCGCTGGGTGTTCCCTGCCTCTGTGGCATCCCCCGTCTATTGGGCCCTGTGAATTCAGAATTGTTTGTTGACTTAAAGCCAGAACAAGGTATTCCTATCCTTCCCACTTTCAGGGTAAGAGGTGTGAACCTCCAGTGTAGCAGATTCATTTCTCTCTGGTTTGTGGCCAAGTCAGAGCCATTTCCTAATGCCAAAAACAGAGACTGGACTTTTCTCTGTCTGTGGGAGATTTTACAACCCAGTCCTATTTCAAAGAGAAGACTGAGGCCAGGAGTGTCTTACCCAGAGTTGCCTGGTGAGTCAGTAGCCAGGAAACCAGGACCCCTTTGACAGTTTATGCTTTATGACCAGGTGCCCTTGTTCTCATTCATGGAGATTGACGACAATTTCTGCTCTTCTCCCAGTGACCTGCACAGTGATGCCAAGTCAGCCATTCTGCTCTGCCTCCTGGGGTCTGAACTGTGTTCTCCAGCAGGGATGGGGGATGCATGAAGCTGCACCCACTGCCTGGCCTAGAGAGAGCCACTGGACCCCACTGACCACCAGGGGACAAGATGGGGATCTCACTGTGCACTCAGGCCACAACACCTGTGACTTAGGGGAGGGATTTTGGTCCTCACAGTCAGTGAAGTGGGCACACAGGTGGGGAAACATGGGTCTGACACCTACTAGAGGCCACACAGCAGCATGTGGCTGGCGGGGCTGAGAGTTGCACCCAGGGCTGGGCACTATCAATTGCCTTTGACGGACATGGATTGGTCCCTAGAGGAAGCAGAGCCAGGGCAGCTGCAGCCCCAGCGGTCATAGCGCTGGGGTTGGGGAAACCTCGTGTGTGTCAGTGTGACTAGGAGGCGGTGAAGAATGCACTCCCTTCTGCATGCCCATAGGAGAAGCTCAAGGAGAGGCATACTTGGGAGGAGCCATGGGATGAAGCTGGAATGCTGGGGGTGGAGCCTGGAGAGTTTGGAGCCCTCATAAGACCTGACAGCCAGGAGAGGGCACATTTCAGGGACACCATGGAGGGTGGCTTCACTGGGGGTGATGAGTACCAGAAGCACTTCCTGCCCAGGGACTACTTGGCCACTTACTACAGCTTCGATGGCAGCCCCTCACCCGAGGCTGAGATACTGAAGTTTAACTTGGAATGTCTCCACAAGACCTTCGGGCCTGGTGAGCAGAGGGTGACCCTTCCCCTCGAGCCTCTCTCCAAGGAATCTGGATAGGGATGGGGATAAGGTGTCCTGGGGGCAGTCTGGTCTCCTCTAGGGGTTTTTGGGGGTGGGCTGAGGGAGCTGCTGGGGCCCTGCCCCTCTCTTTGGGCAGCTATTATACTGGAAGTTGGGTCTGTCTCCCCACGGCTCAGGAGCTGTGTGCCAGCTGAGGGATCAGGACCTATGGGAAGAGCACAGCCCCGTGCAGTTCCCACACTGCTCTCCATTAGCCCCTAGGTCTTTGGGGTGGAGCAGAAAAGGCTCTCCAGGTCATCATCAAGTTCAGTCCTAACCTTGCACAGCCAGGCCTCTGGGGCCCCCAGAAGGCCAAGGGCAAACAGCGGAGTTGTAGTGGGTCAGGATCGCCTATGCCCAGAGTGTGCAGCCCAGATGTGTCTGTGATGAGGACCTGGAAAAGCCCTGCCCTGGGACAAGGATTGCTAGGTGGGGTCTCAACCCTGTTGCAAACCTGACAGCAAGGCGCTCAGGCCCCAAGGACCTCAACTGAGCCATCTGTGCAATTGATAGCGACTTCTGCCTGTCTCCCAATGATCATTGCCCTCCCCACGGTGACCCCATGATTTGGTCATGTCTTCTAAACTCAAGCAGCCATGTCCTCACTTTGGGCACTTGACTGCGGAACAATAAGGGTGAGTCTCCTGGTGGTCTGGGGGGTAAGAGGGGGTTAAAAGACTGCTGAGCCTGGAGGAGCAGGCTGATGCGGGAGGCAGAAATCAGAGAATAGCTGGACTGGGTCTGACCAAGCTTGGAAGGCCAAGTGATGGCCCCACGCCAGGGCTCCAGACAGAACGTTGGAAGTCATGCTTCATTCCAGCTTCCAGGTGACTCTGGATTCACTCCTGGGGCCATCTTCCCAGATCATCTCCTCAGCCCCGGCTTCTATTCCTGCATGCTTACACCCCTCCCCACTCCAAGGAACAAGGAACCCATCCAGGAAGGGCCGGACTTCCAGGGGAGGCTCCCAGCTCCCAGTCAGCCTGAAACTTAAAGAGCCACTGCCCCCAGCATGTCCCCTCTGAACCCTCCAGCCCGAATCTTCCCCAGAGCAGGGCTTGGGCCTCTGTTCTCTGTCCCAGAAATATTATACTCTTGGCTTATGTTCTTGACGGAAAGATATTGGGCTAATTGTTTAACCTTTTTCAGACTCAGTTTTCTAATCTGTAAAATGAAAATAGTGATAGTAGTCAGTACACAGGGTAGTTCTGAGGTGCAAGTGGAAATTAATGCATATAAAGTATTTGGCACGAGGCTTGGCTTACAGGGAACCGCCAATCTGTGATAACCACCATGCTTGGTGCTGTTTGCCCCTTGGGTAAGACCAGGGTGTGTGTCCTCATCCCTGTGTCTGCCCTGGGTCTCGTTTCTCTTACCCGTCCATTACCAGTCTTTCCCTCCCACAGGAGGCCTTCAAGGGGATACGCTGATCGACATTGGCTCAGGCCCTACCATCTACCAAGTTCTTGCTGCCTGTGAGTCCTTCCGAGACATCACTCTCTCTGACTTTACTGACCGCAACCGGGAGGAGCTGGAAAAGTGGCTGAAGAAGGAGCCGGGGGCCTATGACTGGACCCCGGTGGTGAAATTTGCCTGTGAACTGGAAGGAAACAGGTAGCGGTGCAGAGGTTGTGGAGGGGGTTCCCAGTCAACCTTCTTTCTCAGAAGTCTCCCTGGCCTCTTGCTTGTCTCTGGCATTTTCAGGACAGTAGGACCTATAAGGTACAGGACCAGATGTCCTGTGGTGGGGACAGAGTAGATGGGGCCCCAAGTTTCAGGATTACAGCAGTTTTAGCGGCAAGTATCTGATCACAGGACTATGTTGAGGTGTGATATAATCAAGTATGAACACTGAAAACCAGATGATAGAACCTTTCCTTCCTTCTTCTCTTCCTTCCTTACCCTCATCTATATATCTACCTATCTATCTTCTATGTATCTAACTATCCATCCATCCATCCACCCACCGGTCCATCCATCCATCCATCCATCCATCCATCCATCCATCCATCCATCCATCCATCCCTATTCATGCATCCACCCACCCATCCATATCCATCCATCCATCCGCCCATCCATATTCATACATCCACCCACCCATCCATATCCATCCATCCATCCACCCATCCATATTCATGCATCCACCCACCCATCCATATCCATCCATCCATCCACCCATCCATCCATTCACCCATCCATTCATCCATCCAGCCAGCCATTCACTCATCCATTCATCCAGCCAGCCAGCCATTCACCCATCCATCCATCTATCCGTGTCTCTCCATGTTCATCCATCCACCCACCCATCCATCCATCTTTCCTTCTTCCCTCTATTGTCTGTACCTGTGTGACTATATAATGCATAATGACATGAACCCACCACCCAACCTGAGTACTCGGATATAATAAAGACTTCTGTGCTTCTCTGTGACTCCTTGCCCCTGCCTTTCCTAACCCAAGGTAATCACTAATATGAATTTTATGCTTATCATTCCCTTTTTCAAAACATTTTTTCTTGCATACTTATGTATATCTAAATAATCTATAATTTAGTTTTAGTCACCTTTGAGCTTTAGAGTAGAGTAATTTGCTCTGTGTCATTTGGGATTTGCTTTTCATCACTCAAAATTAATTTTTTAAGATAGCTGTATTCATACATTATCTGTAGTAAATTCATTAATTCATCCATCCATCCATCCAATAATGTGTGTTAGCTGCCCCATCTGTGCTTGGGGTGGCCTTGTCCCTCCTGGGGATTAAGGGAAGGGGGCTCACATGGAATCAGAGGGAGAAACGTTCCTATAATTTTTCTGGCCCATTCTCCCTAATCATTTTTCTTTGGGGTAAACTGAGGCTCAGATTGAATATAGGCCTGCTGTCAGGTCACACAGGGACTCAGGGATAGCAATCCTTTGGGGATCCAGAGATCATCTCCATCTGCTGGTCACAGTGGACTGAGAGTTCCCTTCAGAACCTTGAAGTGCCTCCCTGACTCCCTCTCTCTCTCTGCAGCGGCCGTTGGGAGGAGAAGGAGGAGAAGCTGCGGGCAGCAGTGAAGCGGGTGCTCAAGTGTGATGTCCACCTGGGCAACCCGCTGGCCCCTGCTGTGTTGCCCCCCGCCGACTGTGTGCTTACCCTGCTGGCCATGGAGTGTGCCTGCTGTAGCCTTGATGCCTACCGCACTGCACTGTGCAACCTTGCCTCACTGCTCAAGCCGTGTGGCCACCTGGTGACCACAGTCACGCTTCAGATCTCATCCTACATGGTGGGGAAGCGTGAATTTTCCTGTGTGGTCCTGGAGAAGGAGGAGGTGGAGCAGGCTGTCCTGGATGCTGGCTTTGACATTGAACAGCTCCTACAGAATCCCCAGAGCTACTCTGTCACCAATGCTGCCAGCTCTGGGGTCTGCTTCATTGTGGCTCGCAAGAAGCCTAGGCCCTGAGCCAGGAGGGCCAGCCAGAGGTCTGGTCAGGCTGTGAGGCTTTGGCCATCTGTATGCTAGAGAGGGGTGAGGAATGGATACTAACAGCCTCTGATTTCAATACTAACATTTCATCTTCTGAAACTCTGAGATTCTAACATCCTTGTTTTAGAATTCTAAGTTTCCAACATTCCTCATTCTAGGATCCTAGGAGTGGAATTTTCCATTTTCTAGTCTACTAAGCCTTACAGCTATCTTAGATGTGATCTGACTCCTGTGTGACTGTGGAGCACCCAGGGACATGGTTTCAGAGTCTACCTAATATGTTAAGAACAAGGAAACCTCTGGACAGTAGTATATTGGGGAATGTTTCATAACCAGCTCTGTAAAGGAAAAGCACTGATGTGTAGCAGTTACCAGTTTCTGTGGTGTAAATACTCCCACCATGGTGGATTTCAAGCCACCAGTGGTTTAATAACCAGTTCATAAATCTCCTAAACATTTTACAGTTGACTCTCATGAGCTGATTGGAGTCAGCTGGAACATACCACTGCCTCTAGACTAAGGTCAGCAGATTTGACAAATACAGACTGCCCCAGTTCACTGAATTTTAGATAAATGAAACAAATTTTTAAGGTTAAGTATGTCCCCAGAATTGCATGGAACATGCTTATCCTAAACAATGATTTGTTGTTCACCTGAAATTCAAATTTAGCTGGGAGTCCTGTATTTCATTTGGCAACCCTACTTCAGACCCAAGTGTAAGGTACATGGATGTGCTTTGGTCAAGGAATATGCCAAGGCAGATATCCATGCCTGCATGACTCAGCGGGTTTGGTGCACAGGCACACACCTCCACTTGTTATATAACCTGTTTGTGTAAGTTCATACTTGGTCTGAGCCACTGTTGTCTGTAAAAGGTAATTGTCCTGCTAATGCTGTACAGGGGCTCTTGGGGTTCGGCTCAGCTCAACATGACTTGACATGGTGGGCGCACTGGCGCCCAGAGAAAGAGAGAGAGCCAAAGCTGTCCATCTTGCAGATGGACAGGAAGGAGCTAGGACACAGTTCGGCTAGCTTATGCCCAGAGGGAGAAAGAGTTAAGCTGCTGACCCTGAAGGCAAGGGAGAGCAGGCTGCACAGCTGTGTGTGGGAGCCCTGGGCTCAAGCAGCCGAGACAGGGCCGACAGTGTGAGAGAGCTAGTGTGAGTAAGCTGTTGATGAGAGCTGTTGCTGAATAAAACCATATTCACCTGCCTATGGGCCCCGAGTGTTCTTTCTGTCCATGTACCCACTCCCCTCAGACTTCAGCATGGGCTGGACCTGGACCCCAGGACCTGACACCAAGTGAGAAGAGGAACAGCCCAGGGATCAAGGGTATTCCTCGTACATAAGGTGCTTTTGTGCAAATTAGGAAGAGGTGCTCCTGCAGATAGACACATTGCAGAAAGGAGTGTTCAGCTGATTAACTGAGAAAAGCTGTTCCATCTCCCTGTGGAAGGGCTGTGAGAACAAGGTGCCTCTTCTGGGCAGACCAATTAGAGAAAAGTGTCCCTTCCTTAAGGCTGATTGGGTCACACTACTGAGCACCTGTCAGCCTCCCTTTTTCCCTCAACCCCAATCTGTGCCTTTGTGTGGGTACACCCTGGGCACAGCAACCTTGGTAAGAGCCAGGAGACCTGGGATCTACTCTCAGCCCTGTCACTAATTGTTTCACTTCTCTGGGCCTCATATTCCTATCCATGAGATTTAATCTAATAATCTACAGGAACATCCTAAGAACAGCAGGAAGTCATTGATGTGAAAGTGCTTTTTCTTTTTTTTTTTTTTTTTTTTTTTTTGAGACAGAGTCTTGCTCTGTCGCCCAGGCTGGAGTGCAGTGGCACGATCTCGGCTCACTGCAAGCTCCACCTCCCAGGTTCAGGCCATTCTCCTGCCTCAGCCTCCCAAGTAGCTGGGACTACAGGTGCCCGCCACCACGCCTGGCTAATTTTTTGTAGTTTTAGTAGAGGCGGGGTTTCACCGTGTTAGCCAGGATGGTGAAAATGTTTTTTTAAAGGTGTAGTTTCACTCTTGTTGCCCAAGCTGGTGTGCAATGGTGCGATCTCAGCTCACTGCAAGCTCCACCTCCGGGTTCAAGCGATTCTCCTGCCTCAGCCTCTTGAGTAGCTGGGATTACAGGCATGTACCACCATGCTCAGCAAATTTTTGTGCTTTAAAAAGTAAAAGGTTTTGCACAAATTGACCCATTGATGTTATTCCCCGAGAGGGTCAGGACTGAGACAGTCTTTCAAAATTACCCAGTCTAATCTCCAGGTTTTTTGTTTGTTTGTTTGTTTTGAGACAGAGTCACACTCTGTTGCCCAGGTTGGAGTGCAGTGGTGCAATCTCAGCTCACTGCAACTTCAGCCTCCCATATTCAAGCGATTGTCTTGCTGTAGCCTCCCAAGTAGCTGGGACTACAGGCATGCACCAACACACTTGGCTAATTTTTTTATTTTTAGTACAGACAGGGTTTCACCATGTTGGTCAGGCTGGTCTTGAACCTCTGACCTCAAGTGATCCGTCCTCCTCAGCCTTCCAAAGTGCTGGGATTACAAGCATGAGCCACCAAGCCCAGCCAAATCTCCATTTTTTATAGTCAGGGACAAAGAGGTCCCAAGAGGGAAAGCGACTCGTCCAGAGACACACAGCAAGCTGGTGACAGAGCTGGAGTGAGAACTCAGGTGCTCTGACTCCTTGTTCACCCAGTGTACCCTCATTCCACCAAGTCTCCCCACCCGGCTTGGAAGGGCAGGGGGCCCTGCTTCCCTTTGGCTCTTCTTTAGCATAGACTAGTTTCTGTGATAACATCTCTGCCAGCATTCCTTCACTTCCCTTCTCATGCGTTACCCTAGAGAGCGTGTGGGCAGAACCTGTGATACGCTGTCAAGACTATGGGGGAAGGAGTCTTTAGAGAAGAAAACTCCGTTGTGACTAAAGGAAGGAACCTTCTGTTTGGGGCAGGGAGGCGGGCTTGCAAGTCATGACCATCCATCCACAGAACTGTTTCATCATGCAGCACTGAAATGCTGTACCTGTTAGACAGTAACTCCTGGTCTCCCTTCCCCTCACCCCCAGCAACTGCCATTCTACTTTGTCTTTATGAATGTGACTACCCTAAGTACCTCATATAAGTGGAATCATACAGTATTTGTCCATTTGTGACTGGCTTATTTCACTTAGCGTAATGTCTTCAGGTTTATCCATGTTGCACTGTGTCAGGATTTCCTTCCTTTTCAAGGTTTTGAGTAATATACCATCGTATGGATATGCCACATTTTGTTTATCCATTCATCCACTGATGGACACTTGGTTGTGTTCGTGTTTGGGCTATTGTGAATAATGCTGTTATGAAGCCAGCCACATGTAAAACATGTAAAACTCACTGAATTCTCCCAATAGCTCATGTGGACAGTATTATTTTGAAATTCCATTTTACACGTGAGGAAACTGAGACACAGACTTTCTCAAAGTAGCTATTAAGTAGAGAGCTGGGCTTATGAGCCCAAGCACTGACATTCCAGAGCCTGAGCTTAACCTGGACCCCACACTGTCATCTCACAGGGGTGCCAGAAGAACATCTAACTGGGCTTGGGAGAAGTCCAGGAAGCCTTCATGGAGGTGATCTGTGAGCTGAGACTTAAGAGTGAATAGTTGGCTGACGGCTGATGGAGAGAAGAAGGGCTAGCCATTCCCAGCAGAAGGAAAACCTGTGTGTTGTGGCTAATTACACAAAACCCCAATTCCATTTCTAAGTCATGGCCCCTGTGGTCCCAAAGTAACATGAATATGAAAACAGAAGACACAGGAGATTTATTATCTGTGTGGTACCCCCCACTTCCTACCTATCCCCCTCCACCACATCATAGGAATCAAGTATCAAGGCCACGCCAGACTTGGAGAGATGCCAGCAGAAGCATTTCATAGGCTCAAAAGGATATACATTTCCCGGTCTCTTCCTGACCTATTTCTAACTCCCTCATCCTTATGGGGGTGGAGCTGGAGTTTGAAGGGGCTGTGGGGGAGGTGGGGAAGAGAAGGATGAAACCCCCACAGCGCTTTTGCCCTCTGCCCGTAAGTTCAGCCTATCTTATCCTAATGCATTCTTGGCTCCTTGCTGAGAAATGCTGCTTATCTTGCGACTCCATTTAATCTCAAAAACCCTGCATTTATTCTTTTTCCTAGAACTCAGAAAAAACTCAAGCTCAGGGAACATGGTTGTTTACCAGAGGCATTTTAACTGCTTATCTAGAAAGGAAAGGAACAAAAGTTGGCCATTCTGGTCATCTCAGCTTTGGCAGCACAGAGGTCATGGAGAAGTTTTCGTAGGCAACTGCCTCTACTTATGAGAAAAGCTATGAAGACATACAGTTGTGTATAAGCACAGAAGTGAGACGGGTCCAGGCTCGTGTGGAGATCAAGGACTGCAAGACTTGAGCTCTGAGATCCTGCACACGTGGGCATGTTATATGTGCAATAAGTGTGTGGGGTGTCATGAATTGAGATCTTAATAAAAAGAACCAGAGGTGTAGAAACATGTCATCTTGAAACAAAAGAACGTCAGTGTTCCAGAGATTGTTAATTGTTCTCTCGTGCCCAGTATGCCCCTTAACTTCTTCATAGTAATAGATTTTTTTTTAGCTTGGCTCCATTTAGCTGGGCAAGGCTGCCTTAAACAAAGACTACATTTCCTAGTCCCCTTTGTAGCTTTGTGTGGCCAAATGAGTGAGTTCTGACCAAAGGGATTTGAGCAGAAGTGTCGTATCAGCTTCGGAAGCCTTCCTTAAGATGTGGTAAACCTGGACTCTGGATTCTTCATCATTTACCCTGTCCTGTGATCTGCAATGTGGCTGCTGGCATCTTGGTCTAGGAGGTCAAGGCCACACATGGCAGAGAGACAAGACAGAGGGAAACTGGAAACCTAACAACGTGAAGCACTCAGAAGCCCTGGATTTTTATGTGAGAGACAAATAGACTTTCATCTTGTTTAAGTCACTGATATTGTTGTTACCCTTATTATTAGTATGGCAGAAATGCCAGAGAAGTGGTGTTGTATCTCTTTCAGTGCATAAGGAGGTGTATAGTCCTGTGGCTGGGGACTATAACTTTGATCACTTGGTTAATGGGTTGGCCAACTTCTCATCATAAAGTGAACATTTTCCCCTTTGTAATTCAGCAGTATCTTATGGAGAGATTCTTTGAGACTACACAAATATCCTGTATCCACCAGTTTTAGCATCCATTGATGATTATTGTCTGAATGAATTATTATCATTATCCTGGTTGCCAAATGATGATTGGCAAACTCCAT